AATTACTTTCCATCAGAAACTAGGGTTGCTAAAGCACCATTGGACCATAAACCCTAAAAACTTTCTTACTGTTAACAGTAAAAAAAAAAAAAAAAAAAAAAGGAAAATGATGGTGTACTTGGTGTGCTAAGGAAGATGGAAAAAACCCCACATACCTCTTCTGGTGTTAATAGGTCCACCTCGCATGGCCAGAACTAACTTCAGGGTGCAGCCTTCTGAAATGCTGTAAATAACAATAAAAGTATTTTTGCAGCATTCTCTATTGCTTATGCCAACCATAATTTAGAAACATTTGTTGCAATTTTATTCTATACTTACTTATAATCATTCAAACAATAGTCATCCTTCAGCTCCATATTATTCCAAATTAAGTGCTGCTGAGAGACAGGAATACCTAAAAAAAAAACAACCAAAGAGTATTAAAATTTGAGGGCTTTTGGGGAGTTTTACTTTCTGAAGAATGTGGGGGTAACAGAGGAGAGAAAGATGATCACAGGGGAAAGAAGAAAGGAAGCAGCTTACTTTCTGAAGAATGTGGGGGTAACAGAGTAAAAAGGATCACAGGGGAAAGAAGAAAGGAAGCAGAACAAGGACAGGCAACTGAACAGGCTCCACTCATGACATCCAACCTCCCAAACAGTTTTTAAGAACAAATTTAAGGTTTTCAGTGGGCTTGTGGCCATGCTCGGAGTCCAATCTTTTGGGTCAACAAGGGTTTCAAATTTTGGATAGAGTACAAACCAAGACAGTCACGAAAAGGTGAGACAACTTGGATCATCAAAGAAAAATATAAAAAAATTAAGTCTAATAGGAAGATGAATAGCTGTATCTTTTGCCTTTGGAAAAAAATAATCTTCCCTTCAGCATCAAAAGAAGTGCTATTGTTCAATTTCTCTACTGCAATCAAGGTAATTAAAATCTCACTGTGCATTCCTGACAAATTGTAATTAAGATGAAAACCTACAGAGCCCAAGAACTACTTTTTCAAAAAGGTCTAAACATTACTCCTCAGACTAAGAAAGAAAAGCTATAAATATATTTTCCAAAAAAGTTACATTAAAGTAACCTCATCCCTGTGCAGAAGAGGGATTGCACTTTGGAGGAACCGTCATTGTCATTATGTGAGTTTTAGAGAAGATGACATATCCCTTTTCTTACCACAGCTTACATCTAGAGCTGCTCTTTTAAGAATGACACACAACTGTACTTCACTTGGATGGCATTTAACGTGAATCTTGTATCCTCTGAAGTCCACAAGACATTTATGAGGGGAATATGCTCATACAGTAGACTAATATAATTGCTACTACACTGCCAGCTATTTAATAATGGGTTATTGGTTATGTTTCAAGTCTGCAGCATAAGCAAAACAAGACCAAGCTGGCAAGAGCCAGGGAGTCTGCAGTGAAGTTCTTTTCCATGTTGTTTTGCAGTCTTCTGATTACAAACAGTCATTACTGTCTGTATTTGTTATGGTTTCGGCAGCCTCCAAGGAGCAATTTCCAATTACTTTGATAAACTGAGGGAGTATTTGTTAAAAAGGCTGGCTTGCAACTGCCAGCGCTGCGGCAAAACATGGGTTTGTTCATCTAACAATGACAGTATATTTTTGATCAAATGATCAGATGAAAAGACTGAGAAGACTCTGCTGTAATGGGAAACAGACAAGTTGTTATTACTAATTCCCTCTTATACAGCTTTCTAAGAATTCTGTATTTATACACGGAGGGCATTCTTCCAGTGCAAGAAAATATGCATTAGTTGTGCCTTTTCTGGATAATAGCAAGGCTTTCTAGAGGAGACATTTGCACATGGGATCAGCATGTAAAATTGGCCACAATAATGAGAATTGGGAGAAGGAGAGGACAGAAGGAGAACCATTGTCCCCTCTCCTAAAGCAGCAGGTGACTGTCGCTGGCCTGCCCTAAACCAGCACGAAGAGTCTGTATTTGTTATGGTTTCGGCAGCCTCCAAGGAGCAATTTCCAATTACTTTGATAAACTGAGGGAGTATTTGTTAAAAAGGCTGGCTTGCAACTGCCAGCGCTGCGGCAAAACATGGGTTTGTTCATCTAACAATGACAGTATATTTTTGATCAAATGATCAGATGAAAAGACTGAGAAGACTCTGCTGTAATGGGAAACAGACAAGTTGTTATTACTAATTCCCTCTTATACAGCTTTCTAAGAATTCTGTATTTATACACGGAGGGCATTCTTCCAGTGCAAGAAAATATGCATTAGTTGTGCCTTTTCTGGATAATAGCAAGGCTTGGGCATTCTTCCAGTGCAAGAAAATATGCATCAGTTGTGCCTTTTCTGGATAATAGCATCTAGAGGAGACATTTGCACATGGGATCAGCATGTAAAATTGGCCACAATAATGAGAAGTGGGAGAAGGAGAGGACAGAAGGAGAACCACTGTCCCCTCTCCTAAAGCAGCAGGTGACTGTCGCTGGCCTGCCCTAAATCAGCACGAAGAAGAGAGGAAAGTAGGGCAATAAACTCCATCCTGATGCTCAAATGGAAGTGGGCTGTAGGTAATGCTATAGGAGGCCAGCAGAGTCTTCAGACTGTTGAAAGGGCTGCAGATGTGCTGATGATCTGACCTAGTAAATGAGAGCAGCAGGTTCTCTATCCCGGCTCCGAATCAGCGTATGAGATATCCCCTAAAGCTTCACCCCTTTACTCTTCTTTCTGGCACGACAAGCAGGTTCACCAGAGAAACACACCTGGGCAACTCTGACCCAGTATAAAAAAAAAACAAACCTGTAGATTTCAGAATAAACTTGATTTTACATTGTGGATAGAGGGGTATTATGTTTAAAAACACTATAAACATTTTAGAGTCCAGGTTCAGACAGTGTATTCCCTTCCAACCAAAGCTGAAATTGCTGGAGAGTTTCTTAAACATTTACGTTTTGTTCCTGCTTACAGAGAGGCTGGGCTGACACTCTTATTTGCCCCCCAAAACAGTCTGATTTTCCCCCAAAACTCTCTACAATAGGAAGAGGTGCAATGGTCCACCAGGACTGGTTTCATAACTGTCCCCAGCTGGTGTAAATGGTGGTCAGAAGTGACCTACTCTTTATCCCAGGGGCTGGCAGAGAGGAGACAGTAACAGTGAGCCACCAGTAACTGAATCTGGGCTCACAGAATTTCCTGGCAAAGGTGACCTTATTTACACCTTCCTGATGCTCCTCTGACCTTCTCGCGTTTGCAGGAATGTTTTCCCAGCTCAGACAAAGCATCAGCTTAAAAAAAAAACAACTTTATGAACTTCTAGCCTCTATCAGCAGAGTAAACAGGGAAATGACAAAGCAAACAGGAGACATAAAGGAAAAAAAGTCGACAGAAGAAAGACTGGTTCTGTTCAAAACTGTATCATTTGTGCAATCTGCTCAACTCCAGCCCTGACAACAGAAAGACCAAAGAAAAACAACAAGTCAGGATGAATTGAGAGCACACACACGTACGACAACAACATTATTGCTGCATCTGTCATTCCCTGCTGAACACAAGCATTCAAAATTAAGATGTACTCTGAAAGCTAGTTCTGTCTTTCCTCTTTACAATAATACAAGAAAAAGCAAACACTGAAATTTTCGTCTAAAAAGGTGAATGTTTCCACATACACAGATGATAAAATTCAGTTGCAAACAGACACTGAATGAACCACAACTGAGTTTTTCTTAATTTAAAGATAGCTACATAAATGAAGGCCTTAATGCTCCATACTGTAGGATGCAAATTAATTCCTATAATAATAATAATGATAATAATAATAATACCAACACCAAATCCCAAACCTCACCTCCTCCCTTGAGGCTCAATCCTGTCTTACCAAATAAACATGTTTACAAGTATTATCCATGGCTCTTTAACAGATGAAAGAATTAACTGCTGTTAGGAATGCACTACCTGAATGCTCCTTCTATAAAATTCAATCAAATAATTGCTGTTTCCAAATGAGGACTACTAAACTTTGCCCAGCCCAGTGTCTATAAAGACTTGAGCAATAAAAGGAAACAAGAAGAGATCTTCTCAGTTAAAAAAAATATATTGCTATTTCCTCTTTCAGTGAAATCCTGCTATTTTTAAATACCATTCACGTGTTAAAGCTCAGTCTTTCATGTCACCTTGAAACTCAGGTGCCATCCCATCCATGTCCATCAGCACACAATCCTGCTTTCAAATACAAATAGCAAGTCAAAGCAATGGAAAGGCAGCGCTGACGGCAACACCGTGCTACGCTGCTGGCTCCCTGTGGTCTAGCTTTTATGCCACCAGCAGAGACAAAGGGAGCTTATTTCTCCTCCATGTACCGTTTTAAAAAGCTCATTCGGTGAATCTGAGACTAGGTCGCTCCAAATTCAACATTATCCCAAGTCTAAGTTTTTGGATACCACGTTCTCACTTGGCGAGGAACGTATTTGAGGACCAATGCCTGGATCCGATCTAAACACACATCAGATTTGCTTTAACTTCAATTTACAAGCAGACCTGCACTGAAATTTTAGATGCATTAATAAATTTTTACCCATATTCTTTCCAGACTAAAACCAACTGGAAACAGAAAGCTGGAGATCTGGAGCTCTTTCTTAGTGAGGTACCAATTTCTACTACAGCTTTCTAAACAAACCCTTTCCACATCAGACTATTAAACAGACACCAAGAATGACAAAACGGTACCACAAGTCTACGAAATTCCTAAGATGCCATCCATATTATCCTTTCTTATTACAGTGCAGAGAGTCTACAGCTATTGATATTCCAATTGCTGACAAAGATGAGCCTGTCTTGATTTAGTTTTATTATCAGCCTCTTACTATTACAGGCATTGGTGACATTTGAAAAAAAAAAAAAGTGAACTTCTGATATGATTCTAAGTTTTGTTCTTGGAGATGTCAGGGCTTAGATCATTTCCCCAAAACTTGTCCTTTTATATGGTTACACACCATCATCCTCAACACCCAGAGGAGCCCATGGAGACAATACTCCCAGTAGGGACCCTACAGAGTCACCCAGAGGTGTAGGAGGCTTTCTCCAACAAGAAGAGCAGCTTAAATGAGAGAGGTCCACACCCCATGAAAGCTGACACAATACAATGACAAAAAGTGAAAAACAGCAGCAGAAAAAAGAAGAGATGTCGGTTTCTGCTTCCCATGATAAATCACAACTGCAAAATCACTTTAGGATTTTCACTCCACCTGGGGGCGATTCATTGCTTGAACCTGTGCACTGTAATAGAAACTCTGTCACTGAAAAGCTGTTAATTATTTTTTTTTACATGCAGTAGCAACCCTAAGCAACGTAAGATTAATTTGTCATAGTGTGGCTGTCCCCTTCACACATTGCTGATCCATCTGTTTTCACTCTGTCTCCCTCCTTAATCATATTCATCAGATCTTTTAACTCTGTTCTGGAGTATCGAGATATTTCAGCTAACTTCTAACAATTCAATGATAAGCACCAGTGAACTCTTACTTTCCATGTTTTAATGAAATTTACTTCTTAATTATTAAGTCTATACAGCAGGTACCTAAGCCATTAATTACCTTATCATCCTATAAACTACAATATGAAAAAGAAAGTCTGAATAAGCAATATTATAACTTTATTACTGAGCTGTTCTTCTAATAAGAAATGATGAAGCTTTTGTAAGCTGGGCACACCCAGCCAACAGCAGTAAGCAGTAGGTATAATTCAACATGTCTGTCTATTTGCAATCACTCATTCTGGACTAGAAGAAATTCAAATTCCTCTTCCTCACATCTCCCACTGGTCTCTTCACGCATCCTTTAAAGTTTACTCCTCCATCTGTACTGTCCAGATAACCTGCTTTCTCCTCTACTCTCTTGCCTCTGCTCCCTTTTAATTCACCCTCAGTTAGCACTCTGTCACATCTCTGCTTGCATCTCTCCTACACCTCTGTTCACGGAGAAGAACTACCCTTTCCTTTTCTCATTTCACCTCCAGGAGCACTTCAACATGTTCTCTGACTTGTGATTAATTACTGTCCACAGGAAACAAAAGCACATCCACGCTGCTGCACTAATGTAGCTGCACTGATGTAAACTCTGGTTATCTGCATGATGGAGCTTCCCCTGTGTGACCTTACTAGCAAAAAAAGTCACCTCTATTCTTGCTATGCTTCTGTGTTTAAAGGCTTGTGCCAGATACCTTTCTTTTTTTCTTTTCCATCCATTAGTGCAGATTTCCAATAAGAGGAGGAGAATATCTTAGATTGCAGCCTAAAGCATCATATTGCATCTCCCAGAGGGTGGGTTCCACGCAGACAGAAGCATGAAAAACACGTACAGGTAAAGCAGGGAAAGAGAGGATTCCTTTTCTTAAAATTAGCAACTCCAGCACTCTCAGCTTGTGCAGCTCTTGAACGCCTCCAAAGTGAGAAAGAGGACGCGATGCTGCAAAGTATATATACATATATATTTCAAATCACATTCTTTCACACAGGCTCATTCTCACAGAAGAGTGAGAGGGGGGAGAGAGGACTAACCTACACCTCCCCTCCTTGCATCAGCACCAGGACTGGCCCTGTAACTAAAAGGAGGTTTTTTTTTGCTCTGCAGGATGTGCTGAGTTCATCACTTAAAGCACTGCTCGGCCAGACCTTCACCAGCAAAAGATCACTCACCCAAACAAAATTCAAACCAGTAACTTCAAGCTGCCTTGGGGGTTTGCCTGCACTGCAGCTGCTCTTGTGACTGCAGCATCAGAAACAGACCATAAACTGACTAACCTCAGAAGCAACAGCCATAGCACTCAGTCTACTAAGTCTGCTCAGGCAGCTGCAATACAGACACACTGCAAGACTCAAGTTGATAACCTTGCTAATTAACAAACAATTTAAGTCGCAGAATCCTTTCCACACCAAAAATACCGTATCCCACGTAACATCAAAACAATTCATGATTTACCATAGATCTTTGAAGATTTCTCTTAATAAATATATATGTATAAAAAAAACCACAACAAAAAGCCCAAGAAAAGAAGAGAGCAAAAATACCAATTCCAGTGAAGCCTAAGCCATGAACTGATAGGAAAAGGAAAGAACAGAAAACCAACTCAATTCCAATTAAAATTAAGTCATAAACCCAATGTGTAGCTTATACATATTACCAAACATGTAATTGAATTATCTGGTTTGATTTTAGCAATTATAATTTGTAAAACAAGACTTCCTAAGGAAGCAGCAAAGTTTATGCTGAAGTAAAAGAGACTAGTACCTTCCAGTCTTTGAATTTTAGCTTTCACAGAAATAACTGTCTCAAAGGGAGAAACTCGCAGTTCAAAGCATGTTCCCGTGAGCGTTTCAATGAAGAGCTCCATAGTTTCATAAAAAGGAAGCTTGTAGTGAAACGGTCCCATGTTATCTTCATTGAAAAAAGGAGGCTCTTTCTTGTTGGCCATCACAAAGGATTTACGACTTCTTTGTAAGAAGATCTGTCAGGAAACTACATTCCACTTCTAGCCCAGTCAGCTTCGAGGGCAGGTGTGGTGCATTGCTGCTCATGTTTGGGATTTTTCACCTACAAAGCAAACAAGCAGAGATCTCACAACAGCTGAACGTAGCTGCTAAACACGAGTTTCAATTTATTCATGATGCATAATGAAATAGATATTATTTTCCTGCTCCTTAATAGCGAAGTCACGCAAAAGAACCACAAATTTTGTTAGTGATACCACAGATTTAGGACTCTAGTTTCAGTCAGCATTCCCAGGTCCTACCTGCTACCTTTTTATTTTGTTTTCAGCAGCGACACGAACGCCCAAAGCCTCCTGGGGAGGGCTGAGCCCCTCAGCAGGCTCAGAGCTGGAGGAGAAACTCCAGAAAAGACAGGAAAACGGGGACAGGGCCGGGTTCGGGGAAGGTAGCGGAGAAGGTGTCTATGCCCACTCCCCCCCCCCCCGGTGCTGCAGGCCGGACCCAGGCCAGCAGAGCGGAGCGCCCGCAAACAAAGGAGCCAGAGCCGCTGCCCACCCCCCCTCAGCCCCCGCGCCTCAGGGCGGCCTCACACCCCGGCCCCGCCGCCCGTGCC